GTGAGTGGGTGAGTAAGTGAGTAAGTGAGTGAGTGAGTAAGTGAGTGAGTGAGTGAATGAACGAATGAGTGATTGAGATGAAATATGGATAGATATAGGATTGTATAGACCAAAACGTTTGTAACCTGGACTAAGTTAATATTTTAATGTTACATACACCGACCTCAGAAGCTCCTCAGACGTTGGTTATCCTAAAAAAGTTTCTCGGCTTTCTATTTAGCGCGAGATTTGAGTGAAGTTAATCGAAATGCCTGTAAATTTTAAAGTATTTTTAATACATTGTTAAACATATGTATTTATATTTGTTAATATTTTATTTTCAGTCCTCGCTGAAGAAGCACGACAGCGATGATGGTAAGCACGAAGAACCTTAGGCCTCGTCCACACTTGTCGGGATAGATATTTTTTGAATCCCCAAAATTTTCGTCGCGGATTTGACCGTCCATACAAGGCCATATTTACAGCGTATTCAAAAAACAAACAAAAACAAAAGAAAAAAACACCGAACTCGTGTCCTGTGTCTCGTGTGAAGGCTAACTCACAGATCGAAGTGAAATTTGGCGTGTTAGGTTTTGCCGGGGGAGGAAAACTGGAGAACCTGGAGAAAATTGACTTACTCACATGTGATGCCGAAATCGAGCTCGAGACCACGAAGGTGAGAGGCGAGTCCACAGCCGCTACGCCACACTTGATCCCCAAATGTGGAAAATAGCATCTCTGGGAATGTAGGGTTGACATTTATAGATTTTCTGGGTCGAGCCTTTGAACGCATAATCATAAATCCGCTCCTGTGTACTCTCGCTGTAATGGGCAGCATGTGAGGCCATGGGTAGCACTTGATTAAAAACATCCCTTGTTTTTAGATGTTATGCTTGAAGAGCTTTTGGCAGACTGTGATGTACTTGATCATGATGACAGCAAACCATTGATTGACACGAACAGACACATGGAGATTCTTCAAGAACAAGGCGCCGCCTTGTCAAATGATGAGTGGATGACTTCGCCTCCCAAAGACTCCAACGAATCAAAGGACGTTAATGACAATGAAGGCGCTAAATCTGCAGATGAGACGAAAGAGCCTCAATCAGCTGGCGGTGTAAGTTTTATAGATTTTTTTACTTTGGGCGTAATGTTTTCTCATTTCATAACACGTGTAATTTTCTCAAGTATCATTCCATTCCTTTAAGATTGTGCGAAAAAATACACATGAATATGGATACAACTCAAACAAAGAATCCTATACTTAAGAGATGATATATGTGCTCTGAAATGGAAAAACATTACTTCCAAGCTAAAAGTCTAGGTGTAGTCCGGGAACCAGTGAGATTCATCCATTCTCGATCACCATGGTAATGGTTGTCAAAGTGACACGAACAGGACTCTCTTTTTATATGTTTGCTGATCGATCATAGCATTTTCATATTTAAGTAATCTTTAGTCAAAACTTTCTATTAATTTCCTGCTTTTCACGTACTGCTGTCATCGGTATTCTTCTGGGGCAACCACATGACTCAAAATCCCTTGAGATCTAAATATGCAAGCTGGTTGATCTAACAAGAGAAGCGAAGGAGGAATGGTTTGTTATCGTCAACCGGCAACATGGCGGCTATGACATAACATGCACCACAAGAATGAAGATCTCGAGTCCATTCATTAGTCCATTGTTTATTCATAGTGTCTATAGTTTGTCATTGAGGGATTTTATTTAGTTCCCCGGTTTTCTATTTGCAAAATAAATACTTTTTATTTCAACCTTTAGTATTCTGGCGTCACTGGCACCGTTCAGCGGTAGCACGCCTTTTTTTTTACGTAGCTTTATCTTTAAATATTCGTAATAAGGAGCAGTTATAGTCTGGGGGGGGGGGGGGGAGATGCGCACCTTCGAGTGCTTTATGCATAAGCCCCTGGCTCTGGAGAATTGGGCAGCCACTTTCCTCGCGTTATCGAAATAAAGTAAATTACGTTTCTTTTTCTTTTATGATCACCTCTCGGGTGTGAGCTTAGAGTTTTATGCTTACAATATAAACTCCTAATAGATAGTGTTTATGTATTAACAGACTTCTGTCCAGATTTTCAACGAGGATCATAGTTGCATGACGGTGTCCGTGGGTCAGAATATGAGTGCCGTTGAATGTTGCCATAAATTGGTCTTACTCAACACGTTCAAGGAAGATCCTAACTGGGTAATCGCGGAGCACGTGACAGACCTTGGGATCGGTAAGTCAGTGTCCTTAATCTGCTGTTTTTGCATGTGTTGGTTGAGACTGGGATAGTACCTTTCACAGTTCCCTGCGCCCTCTTGAAAGGTAGCCGTGCCTTTGCATCGAAGCGAGACGAACGGTGAGCTTGCATTGATAGAGACCTTTTTTAACACCTTGGACAATTATTCACATATCTCTATCATTGCAAGCTCACCGTTCGTCTCGCTTCGATGTAAAGGCACGGCTATTCTTCAAGATGGTGCAGGGAACTGTGAAGAGGACTATTGGGGCGAACGAAGATACAGGCAATACGGCGCTCGTAGAAAAAGGGTCTTGCTATCAGGGATCGCAGAGAAGTGTTGTCATTATTTGGGATACTCTGTTGAACCATACGACAAGTTTTTATCAATACATCACAACGGCTGTTGTTTTCAACGAAAACGAAATTGAAGTAGACGTGAGGAGGGGTGGGGAGGCTATCTTTTCTGCACAAGTAGTCTAAATCAGGGACGTAGCGGGGAGGGGGGTGGGGCAAAAGTTTGACTAAAATCGTAAATTTTCCTGTTTTCCTATTTTATTGGGCTACCTGTGGATTTGGTGGGAATTTTTGCGTTTGCTCGTTCCAAATTTGAAACTCTTGTTAAGCCACTTTCCTAAATGGCTCACTCTGATTATTGGTATGTCATCTGTGTTATTTTGAATTCAGAACGAGTTGTAGAAGATCACGAAAGAATACTTGAAGTCTACCAACACTGGGCTCCAAACTCAAACAACAAGTTTTTGTTCAGAAAGGATCACAAGAAATACGACTTCTTTATCAACACAGCTGTAAGTACTCCTTGATCTAGAGGTCTTAATTCAAATTTTATCGATACCCAGAACAGCCTCTGGATCTGGGATGATCGAAGTCTGCGCAAGGATAGCTCCCAGATCGAACCCTGAAATAACCTCTTGGCTGATCAAAGCAGGTCAAGGCACCGCGGCTGGTTCCGCAAGATCGAATTGTAGTTTGTTTAGTGGAGGGAGGAAAACCATAAAAACCTGAGGAAAACACTCGAATCAAACGTTTTTGCGTTTTTTTTATAGTATGCCCTCTTATTAACCACGATATTGGCTTCACTGAACAGTTGGTCAAACTTAGAAATGTACCCAATCTACACTTTGTTAGTGCATAACATTTTGACCAACTTTTGACGTAAGTAAGAGGGCATACCATGCAAAACCATCCATGAAAATGTGTTAAATCTACGAAATCTCTTTATTCAATCAACACTACCTCTACTTTATTCATTTTGTTGTTATTTTGTCTTAGGAATACTTTCCTTCGCATTTGCTGGATGACGATTCTTCAGACCGGGCAGTTACTGAGCAAGCAGAGAGAGCTAAACAAATTCTCTTACAGGCATGTTTCCATGGTGATGTAGTTTACTTATAGTTCACTTATACTTTATGCTTTCATTGGATACCGCTGTGTTTCTTGATTGAAAATATATTTGAATGAAGATGGGGTTAGTGTGACACCGAAACGCAGTTCATGATTTGATTTGATTTTTATGTTATTAACTTTTCCCCTGAGGGCAGGGACACCACAACAGCTTTCGCCAATGACTGTGATCATGAGACATGTAGTAACTATAAACACATAGTTCATTTATTTACTCAGGTTTAGACTCATTTTGACTTTAAGATATGCTCATAGATAACAACAACAACGACGACAAAAAAGAACAAAAAAGCTGAAAGACCTTAAATTTTAGGACTTCAATTCAAGGCCAACGAAATATGCAATTTAAAATTTCATGAACCTTCAATAAGACACATTTATATTCTGCAGAAAATTCGCAGAGCTTAATTCACGGGATCTTCTGTGGATTTGGCGGGAACGTTTGCGCCAACAACTGCGCGCTTGCTTCCCAACTCTGGGACTATCCCAACGCTAGTAATAAAAAAGCCCTTTTAAAGAGTACAGTGAATTTCAGTGCAAATAATTCTAGCTTTTCATTGTATCTTATACCAGAAACTTTTCCGTCAATGCACTCAAGTACCTGAGATAGCCAGCATGTTGTACATCAAAGACTTCAGTAAAAAATCTTGGAGCAAAAAATATTTAATCTTAAGAGGCTCTGGTTTGTATTCTTCTACCAAGGGAAAGTCAAGGGTAAAGTCTTTTTATTCACTTTATTACTAGTAAATTGAAATAGATTCTTTTTACTATATCTATCGGTGTGGTCGCGACACTGGTGAAAAACGCACTGCGCACGCTCGGAGATGGCGTAGCGTAACTAAGGGCAACTTATGTTTTTGATGCCGGTGTTTTGATCGTTTTACAAAATCGCAAAACTTAAGAAAAATGCTGAAAACTTAAGGCTGTCCTTTTCGCAGTAGCAAGATAATTTCGATTGTGATACACTGCTGATTTATACAAAAAAACTTTTGTTTATACAAAGCAAAAATAATC